CAGGAAAAACTCTTTGGGCTGCTTGCACTGACTGACTTACTTAATAAGGGAAAGATATCACTCGCTGACTTTGTCTCGTATATTTCCATCTGCTATCACCTTATCCATTTTCTGTTTCTAGAATCAAGTTTTTATATCAACTCTACTCAAGTAAGACAAGTAAACGTATGGGCTTCACATGCCCAGCTCTCTCTCGACACTCCACTCTCTGTCCGCGTCTTAATTTCACCACGTGGACTGTGCGAACCAATCGAGGGTCCAAACCTTCAACGACGACGTTAAGAAAGTCAAAAGCAGCCCACGAGGGTCAAAACTTCCAACAACGCGCAAACCTTTTACCCGCGTTTCCTCTTCACCTTCTCCTTCTACTTCTATGTTTTAAATTACACTAAACTCCCCTAAATTGTGCCTCTTAGTCCACATCATCATCTCTTAAACTATCTATTTCCACATAATATTACATTTTAAGCTTGAGTTTCATATTGCATCAATCAATCGTTAATTTTTGTCCAATTAGCATAGAAACTAAACAGCATCTAATCATAGTACGTATTGTGAATTTCTATTTTTACCATAACTTATAGTGAACAATTAGGACATTGTAAAAGTCAAATTAATAGGTTAAGATATAATATAAAATTTTTGAATAATGTTAAATGCACAAGGTGAAACCAAGAGACATAATTTAGGGGTAAAAGTATAATTTAAAAAAAAAAAAAAAAACCGACCACCTAAGGCACAAAATCACCAGAATTGAAAGTTCAGCGGTCTGTACCGAAAAAAAGAAAGTTCAGCGGTAAAACCAACCTAACTATTCAGAATCAAACCTCATACTTGTCTCCTCCTACCTACCCACTAGACGACCAATTAACTCAATCCTCATCCACCCACATATTTGTAAGTATATATATATATATCTTTCTCAGTTCTTCTACCTTCTACACAGAATTTGAAACATATATTAGAAATGCAGGCGAGTCCAGTATTACGGTTATCCCCAAGAAGCTTTAATTCCTACTCTGATGAAGACCAATTCGTCGGGAAAATTGTGGAAGATTTTAGCGAACAGGTCAAAATCGTAGCTTCTGATCATATGAAGTTTGAGAATAATATGAGGATCTCCGAAGATGATCAAGTTCAGCAACAATCACAGCATGAAAATGAAGAGGAAGAACAAGAAGAACCAGATGAAGAAGATGGTGATGAAGATTTCTCTTTTGTATGCAACGTAGCCGTCGATCCATCATCGCCGATTTCGGCTGACGATATATTTCGGAACGGTGAGATCAGGCCGGTTTTTCCTTTATTCAACCAAGATCTCCTTCTCCTTCTCTCTGATCATGAGGACGTTGATTCTGATAAAACTTACAATTCTCGTCTAAGGCCCCATCGGCGGCCTCCGCTGAAAAAGGTCTTCATTGAAACAGACGACACTCCTCTACCTCCGTCATCATCCGAATCCGACGACATCGACGGGGTCGCCGACGGTCCTTACTGTGCCTGGTCAAAAGGAAAAGTAATCGAAGCATCTCCGGAGGTATGCAAGAAAAGTAACTCCACCGGATTTTCCAAGCTTTGGAGGTTTGGGGACTTTGCCAATCGGAGCCACAGTGATGGCCGGGACGCGTTTGTTTTCTTGAACAATACAACCACCACAAAGGCGGCGACGAGTGTTAAGAGAGAAGAGAAGGTAGCTGAGAAGAAGCCGGAGAAGATAAAGACCGGAGAGTTGAAAGCTAACGTCAATGGTGTAGGAGGAGGAGAGAAAATTAAAAAGGCGAAGAAGAAGGTAGTGAAGGCCGAAACGTCGTCTTTGTCAGCTTACATGAAGAATAGAGCAATGGACGAAGATCGACGAAAGTCGTACCTGCCGTACCGGCCGGGGGTTGTTGGGTTCTTCACTAACGTCAACGGCGGGTTAACCCGGAATGTACACCCCTTCTAACTTCCAAGCAAAGATCTATTTCATTTCTGCTTGGCATTTTTTGTTTGTTTTTTTAAATTATTTTTTTCCACCTAATTAACGTTTTTATTTGGGTGAAAAATATTGTTGTACATTTTGAAATTCTTCTAGTTTAATTGATTAGTTGGTGCATTTTTACCTAAATAAATAAAAAATTGATTATTCGTTTTGTATTTTATACTGGAAAGGAAACACATGACATGATAGATGGGTCATTCAAGACTGTGACCAAAATAAAAGGAGCCAAAAGTTAGAATCCAACAAGATATTCGGAAAATTGTCGATTATCATACCAATGCAAGAATAGATCACATCCGTTATAAATAAATTATGAATTTTCTACCAAATCCTATCTGTTATAAATAATCGAAAATCTCACATTTCTTTTTCTTTTTTTGCAATTTTTAAGTCTCTAGGCATCATTGATTCTTATTTGTGTTCAGCTTATTAGAAAATGCATGACAATGGCAAAGATGATTTCTATTCAATCAAATTATCCTACATAGTGCAATAGCAATTTGTAAGAATCAATTATTTGTTCCTGTTTTCGAATCAATAATCACAGTTACCCAAATAACCTTTCATCAAACGATGGATATGGTGAAAGAGAGGGAAGCAAGAGGGCAGACAGAGGGAGAGACAAATACCTAGCAGTAGCTGGCAGTGGAGAGTAGCAGGAGGGGCTGAGAGATGTGGTTGACGATGGTTGATGAGGAAGAGGAAGAGAGAGAGTTGTCGTCGCTCGGTGGCGCCATCGGTGGTTGCTGGTTGCAGAGAGTTAGGAGGGAGGAGAGAAAAGAGAGAGGGGCGGGTGATATCTTCTTAAGCATGCATTCTATAAGAACATAATATATGCATGCTTATATTACATCAACGTAAGTCACATATTTCTAATCTCACATACGGATTAACGTAGACATTGGAACATTGCTCGTATATGGAGCTCCCGTCAACTGTTTCTTCATGAGTATGAAATCCCCTCTCCTGGCATTCCTTTAGGATATTCATTCCAACAGGGTCAGATAGCCTGAATATTCCATGCTTCCTGAAATACATCACAGAAAATAAAATTTCCCAAGTGTAACCGAGTCACGAATTATATAAAACCCACGGATTATATGTTCTTGTAACCAGAACTGTAAGAGACTTTCGAGTTCGTGCCGAACGTGGCATCTCACATTCTCGTTGCTACCTAATGAAAATCGGCTTAAAACCTAACTCCTAACCGGAAGCTCACTAGTAAAGGCCAACGAAGAACAACTGAAAGCTGAAAAACTAACAATGGGGTAGTGTACCACACCCCAAATAGTTGGCACGTAGAATGTTGTCGGCCTTTGGAAAGTCATGTGCACCGAAAAATACCAGTCTGAAGTCCAAATTTGCAAATACCAAATGATTAATGAAAAAGTAGCAGGTACCTTGATTTATCAGTTGGAGCCATGACGATGGCAACAGCCTCAGGTACCATCATCTGAAAAATAGAAGAAGATAAATGTGAGAAGTTAATCTACAAAGCAAGATTTACCCCCTCCTGAATGCAAGGTATTTAACTAGTAAAGAAAAACCAAAATATCATACTAGCAAGCGTGTGAGAGATTTAGTGGATGACTAGTTAACCAAAATATCATACTAGCAATCAGAAATATTGATATCATATGTTTACACATTAAGCTCCGCTAAATAGTTAAGTTTCAGATCGACACCATGGATTGTTGAATGGAAAGCCATATCTACAGGTTGAGCAAGGGAGATGTAATTGTATTAACATATGTAGAAACTCATAACGCTAAAAAGCTCAATGACATGCTTACAAGAGTAAATTTCAAAATTTACCACTTCTATTTCTAACTAGCATCAACAAATGGGCTTCTATTGACATAAAAATTAATATGTAACGGTTACTGCATAATCTACAAGATTAAACATACTGTTCCGCCAAGACAAAGGGGATCTAACAAAGATAACTAGAAGTATTCTTTGGTGTCAATGAATTGCATTGCTCTTTTGTCTTTCGTTACATATCTTTGTCTACAACGCCTGTAGATGGATGGATCTGTTGTCACACATTCATTTTTTTATCTACTTTCAAAAGAAATGAGCAAGGGCAAACAGCCACCTGATAGGAATATTGAGTGTGCACATCAATTGATGACATAAAACAACTCTGAGAAGGATGTGTCTGAAAACATAAACAAAAATTAGGTTTTAGCTACATCAAGAACATTTAATTTTCAAACAACCTATATGACAAACATATATAATGTAAAGAAGAGAAAAACTGATAGTGCAGAAAAGCAAGCAAGAAGACAACAAAATATAATAAAAACAATTTTGCAATCCAAGATAAAAACCAATAACTTCTAACTGGGCCTACAGCTACAGTAGTATGGATGCATCTCATTGAATGGATCGAGGACTATAAGAGACAAGATACATTATTCTAGAGTAATCATCCTGAAGAGTCCACAATTCGAAGGCTAACCACTTTTTGTATGCTTGCGTCTGTGAGTGCATGCACGAATGTGTGCGCTAAGCCCTGAACCTTGATCTTGGGTTGGTTAAAAGTTCTATTTACAATCACACGTCTTCACAGAAACAAATGACTGATTCATACATGACAATATCAGGTATGTTTAAAACGTGGATCATCTAATTCATCTGAAAACTAATTAAATCAAAATTTCTATCAAGATTCATGCTGAGAATTAAATGAACAAGCGACATAGAAGCTCATTGTGCTTGAATTATGCTGATTCCTTTCTTTGATAAGAATTATGCACATCCCTTTCAAGTTTAAGCCTAGGAGGCAGTTTCACAAATACAAGACAACTGGCCTTTTTCGGTAACTACAAATCTCTATCACAAACACGGATTCCTAAAAATTCAAAATTAGTCCATTGATGAGCAGTGAAAGTGTTAACCGATTAGATGTGGATCAGAGCTAAAGCTCCAAAAATGCTCAAGTATTTCTGCTTTTTATGAGTTATCGAGTGTTCACTAATGGAGTTCATCAATCTGTATATTAGTGCTAATTTGTTCTCCTGATGATGATGATGAAGGAAATATGCGAGAAATTTTGAGAGTAATTCAACAGAAAAAAATGCAGATAGAGTGGACAACTTGCAAAGTAACAGCATTGTGAACAAACAAAGAGTAAGATCTGAGCAAGCTTTTAACAAATTCAGCTTTCTTCCCCCCTATTTTCAAGTTTAAGGGTATAGTTAAACCTGCTTGTTCCAGAGATATATGAACAGAGGAAAAAAATGAGGGAAACAAGATTTTGTACATGGATCCATCCTACAGGAAACAACGACTGTTCATTTTGTATGGCAAAAATCTCCTCCTCGTTCAGAGCTTGACACTATAAATCAGTTCAAATAAGTCAGAAGCATGTAAATCAGTCACCACTTCTGTAATGAACAAAGGCAGGAAAATTTTACGCGAAATTAAGATAAATGAACAGACCCAGAAACTTACGGAATTTGAAGTTGATTCCTGTTTGGGAATGATCAGAGTGGTAACATAAAAGATCCCTTCTTTCTGCATAATGACAGAGAAAACGAAAATCAGTTCCAAATCAAACATTTATCTTCTTTAACCATTTCACACTTTCTCAAACGCTGAGGACAAATAAAATGCATGTGGATTAACAATAACTATAGATAAAACAGTGGGAATGAAATTTCAATTCAATTGTACATTTGAGAGGCTTCATCAAGTGCTTCAAGAGATCCAAGAACCACCAAGTCCAACAGAGGAACCAACTAAGGATGTTTAACTTGTATTATATGAACCAGTTCACTGATTACATAAATCAGAAGAAGTACTAAAATGGTGTAAATGATGTTTGTAAATGTAGATTATTTTTGTAAACAATATAATACTGCAAGAATCAGGGAAGACGGAAGACTCAAAGGCAGAAACTTAACCTATGGACTGGATTGAGCAGGTATGGGTTGGGTAATTGGGCTGAGTATTGAAGTATCTTTCAAAAGATGAGGTGATATTGGGTTTGGGAGCTTGACATATGTTCACTGAACAAACGAAAGAAGATAGATTACTAAACCAAATTGGTAAGTGAAGGCAAAAAACATGTTCTTTCAGGCGCAAAATCTGACTTCGCAGCAATGAGACAAAGATTAGTTTTTGCTCCGTCTTTGCAACATCGATCTACTATTGATTCCCACCCATCCCCTTCCCTCAGCATGTAAAGCTATACTTTGCCACCCTAAGTGCCTGACCCAGTTGATAGCTTCTAGTCTAGCCCCAGCTAACCTTCTGTATTAGCCAGGTGAGGTGAAAATCTCAGTAGGCTCACTAAAAACTAAATCTCAATCACCGATGGAGTTTTCAATCCTAGTCAAAATAGAGGCACATGCCTCCATTGTACGGTGAGTTCACAACATGGGACAGTTGTCTATGACGAGTTTTGGTACAGCCATGAAAGACTATATTTGGCGAAGAAAGCTCAAAAGGCTCACACGTCATTTGAGAATTGACACATTGTGATCATGGATAATGTCAATTCTAGGTGTACAGGCATTAGGCAAGAGCATAAATCTTACAAGAAAAGCACCAAGAACCCCACAGGTCTCTAGATCCTTGTTAGTGTTGTCTCTGGAAAGTTCAAGAAAGTCCTCCATCAACTGTGCTGACTGACAAGAAGACAATCCAAATTAATTCAATATTTTCATGAAAGTACAGTACTACTGTATACATATAGCAGTATGTACAGGTCCTGAGTACTTACTATATGTACATCTTTCAGGACTTTAGACGTTCCTGGCTCATTGCATGATGATTTTGAATGTCCATTATCTGATTCAGCCCCTGAGATACGTGAGATTTCATTCCCGTGTGAAGAATTGTATATAAAGGAGATTCCGGCAGAAGGAGAAGACTGTGTAACAGTGTGCACATCAATCTTCCAACAATCTTTAGGAGCGCTGAAAGTGATTGAACAAAGAGAAACTGGGGAGCCAGTAGTGATCTCATCCACTGAAGGCCTTGATCCCCCAGGCTTTTGCTCCCTGACTATGCTGCACGACAGATAATTTAACTTTGACACTTTGATAATGTATAAAACTATTTTAACAAATTAAGGTTTTAAGCAGCAATGTACACAGTTTTTACATATTACAGGAAGTTTCAATAATTTTCACGTCTTGTTTGGCCTACCATTTTTTATGTTGTTAATAACACAAAGTTAAAGGGCAGATGGCCTAGTCCGATCCCACAAACTATCTATCAAATTCTCAAGAGTATTTTCCATATTGCCTCATAATTTATCTCAGCATGAGACTTTTTCAAGATCTTCACCAAACATTGTTGGAAAAAAATCGAACTCAGAATACCTCGTACAGATTAGATGCTGTATGACAACAGGACAGAGCACTATGCTCAAACTTCATGTTCAAAAATACCTAGTTGAGTTGAGTTGAGTTTCCATAAGCAAGTATGTCATAAACTGCGACACTTCAATCCTGTTTGTTAATTGATTGGAGAGAGGCATCAACGTCAAACTTAGTGGATTATCGTAATCCTTCCCAAAATGATATAGAATGCAACCGTACTGTGCTTTTTCTTACAAATAACTAAAGCTACTTTCAGATAAAACTGAGATATATTCCGCACGGACCACACCATATGTTGCATAACTATAATGTTACAAAATTGGGTAAAATGATCCATACATGATACATCAAGTACATACCCCTCTAAGTTAAATTATGAAATGAAGTTAATACATGGGTCATACTTCTCTAAACCTGTACATGACTCGAGTATCCTGCTTGGAAACAAATTTCCCCATCAAACCTGGCTTTGTTTAGATTTAAGCCGCTGAAACTATATGATCATCAACAATTCATAAACCCAGTAAAAATTAACACCTAAATCATGCAGTGCTTCAAAATCAAACATATATAAGTTTACAAACAAATCGAGAAATCACCCCCAATTAATCAGACAATGAATAATACAAATTCATACAGCTTTGGTGTGTGTATATATATATATTCCTGCAAGTATTCATATATGCAGCTGCTCACTGAAATTCCAAATGAAGGGTTCAAAAGACTCCTTACCTGCAATATCTACCGATCGTTGCACCGACGTTTCCTTCATCTCTGACAACTTTAGCCTGATTCAAACAGGGATAAGAAAACTATATATAAAATACAGAAAGAAACATACTTTGCTAATACGGTTAAAGGCAATTCTGGTGGGAAACAAAAAAAAAAAGGATGGAATTTTGGGCCCAGGAATTACTAAATTTTTCGGTGGAATTGAGGTTTCCCTTTCTTCTCTCTTCCTCATGTTCGTTACTTCAGCGTGGAGTTTAGGAGATATTATCCAGAAAAACGGCTTACTAATCCCAAGAATAAATTGAGGGCAAATTATACTTTAAGCCTCTCTGTTATGATCATTTTTTTACATTATCACGTCAATTATCATATATTTCAGATGACATCCTCAACTATGTAAATTACTTGCACATTGTCCCAATTATTTATGTCCATTACATATATTAAAAGAAAATTATTTCATTTAGGCCCCAAATTATATAATTTTTCTCACTTGCCTTATACATCAATAATTTTTATTCTAAAAGATAGCGAATATTTCCGATTGGAGCAGCGACAAAATAATTCAAATAGATGAGAGGCGCCAATTTTGTTTGCGCCGTACTTACACAACCATCCGATTCTTTGAATTTGACACCATTAGGGATGGGAATGATCCAAGCTTGTTTGGTGGCTCACCACCATATTGTCCCCTATTACTTCCATCCACAAAAACAGAAGTGACTTTTCCTTTTTCAACTCATCGCCGCCCATTCTCTCCGGCAGCCATCGCTGGCCGAAGTGGTTTTTTTTTTTTTTTTTTGTGGTTAGGCATTATATTTAGAGGGAGGAGGAGGAGAAGGCGAAGGAGAAGGACAACGAGATTTAAAATCAAGATATTAAGGTTCAATAGTAGAAGTGGTAGTCATTAGTCCAATTACTAACCTTTTTCACTAATCGAAGTTGATGCCGTGGTTTTCACTAATCGAAATTGATGCCGTAGTGTTATAGTTACGCTAAATATTTACTCGCTATTAAACTTGATGATGTATAAAATGAGTTTATACACTACATGTCAAATATTTAATGTAATAATTAAGATGAAAACTCAACACAAACAAACACAATTTAAGTGGTTCAGTCAAGGTGATCTACTCTACTGTTGAAAGCCTATGATGACCTAAGTGTTTTATTGGTCAAAGAGTGTAAAGTGTTCAAGTGTGAGTGTTATGTAAGGGAAAATACTACATAGATTTAAAAAATAAATTTGATAATCACAAACATTCAATAAGTAATACGTTCTAATAAATATTGGAATTCAATGAAATCAATAGTTATAATTATTAAGTCTAATTTTTAAGTTTATTTTTTAAATCTATGTAATATTACTCTTATGTAAGAGATACCCTTTTGAGTAAATGAGACTTATAATTTATAAACACCTCCTAACAGATTGATACGTCATTCTTGTAACACATGTGATAGTTATGTGGAGGTGACGTCATTCTCGTAACAGGCAAGACAATTTCGTGAAGGTGACGATGTGCGCATCCTAGAGATTTTCTTGCGTGTCAGTTGTGAACTGAGTCTTTCATGACGACACAATTGACTTAACTCTCTCAAGGTGGTGTTGCTAACCTGACCTAACCTCCTTTCATCTTGTGGTGGGCTTGGCCTGTATGTGTGAGATGAGCTTAGTCTATGATTCTAGGTCTGGTCAATATTTTTTGAGCTGAACTTGATTTGTAATTTTAAACTGAGTCTCTAAATTGGACCAAGCCCGTCAAAACCCTTGCAATAAAATCAGACCAAGCCCGTCAAAACCCTTGCAATAAAATCAATTACAGTAAGTTTTTCACTAATTTTGTTTTTTATGGGCATCTTTGATTTCTCCCGCTAGTCTATTACCAGGTGGGGAACCATCAAGAGAAAAAGCATGGCTGAAAAAATTTACAAAGTGCATTATGCTATGTTGTTCAAGAAAACCTTGGGGCAGATCTCTGACTGTCATTGAAAAAATAATTTTTCTTGTGATTCAACAGTTCTATACACTTTCATTCAATTTCATTTAATAATAGATAATTCTAACGTGAAAGAAATTGTAAATTATTGGGAAGCATAAAATAAAAGAGATACTTTATTCACTTTAATTCTAAAATCGTTAAGGATATTTCACGTACTTCAAAAATTCAATATCAATCTTTTTTCTACATGCTCTAGCGATACAATGTTATTACTTAATACAAATCAACATCAGGCTTACCGCAATACAAAAATCTTCTTGAACAATATGTAAAAGAGGAAAAAAAAAAAAGGGAGTAGGAAGATTGTAGGTAAGATGAATTATCAAATATGTCATCTTGGGTTTATATCGAAGAGACACGTCCTACATAAACTAGGGATGTCAATGGACCGAAGCGGGGGATAGTCTTCATCCTCGTACCCGCTTAAAAAATCTTTGTCCATCCCTGTTAATGAGTACAATTTTCATCTCTATTTTCATCCACAGGTAAATTTCTAATCCCCATCCCCGCTTTCCCCCATACCCGCTCAAGCCTAATTCCCATCTCAAGCCCAAGCCTAAATCCAAATTCAAGTCAACATAATCTAAAATTCTAAATAAATCCAACATTTTAAATAATCTAACAACATTCTACATAATCTAACACAACATAATGTAACATAACATATTCCAACACAACACAAATAACAAATGTCTAAAAAATTACTTGAATTTGAATTCTGTATCAATCAAGTACAATAGAATTCTATATTATTGCAGCAAGAATAAAATAAATTACAAGTAGCCCTTAATGGAAAATAAAAATAACTTCACATGCAAGATTTACAGATGTAGCTAATAATGGCATATTGATTTGAAGTAATGGTGAAATAGTTGCCAAGTAATTTGAGAGGCATACCTTCGGACTCTATATATTTGAAAAATATTGTTGGTTTATTTTTATGGAGTCTAGTTTGTATATGTGATCGGGATGATGACCCGACCCGAAACCCTGTTGTTTTGGTGATTAGGGTTAATTGTGGATGGTACAGCCGCTCTCTGTATTCAACTCTCTCAATAGTGAAATCCCTGCAGTTTCGTGGACGTAGGCAAATTGCCGAACCACGTAAAATCTATGTCTTGTTCTTTCTTGTTTCTTATTGCTTTATATTCTTGATTTGTTCTTCGATTGTGTGTGTTTATTAGTGGATTTAAATCGTGAGAAATCCCAACAAAAATTTGGATTGAGAACAATTTCATCTTATCAGGATATTCTTTGGAAGGCCGCACTAACTGAGGTACAAGCTCAATTAATTGTGTAAATGAGACGGTGGACAGAGTGGATCTCAATGGGAAACGAAGTCCCCAAATAAAATAAACAATAAACATAATTCTTTACTTTAGCTACTTTGTTATTGCACCTTCCTTGACTATGAATCACTAGTTTTCAACTTGATCTACAATATATGCTAGAGTGAGTTTGACAGCCCACCCAGTGGAATCAATCCATAATATGACAGTAGTAAGAGTTATAGAATCATTGGTTAGTGTATAAAGAAAGTTATAAAAATATCTGGGCAATTAAATAATTATCAACATTGACACAAAACTCTCAAGTTCAGAGGAGCTTGGAGGACCACCTTTAATCCACCTTCAGTGATTACGAGTGATTACGAGAGAGAGATATGAGTCGATGGTGGTGATGGGCGGCTGATAGAATAAGTTAGGGCTTAGGGCTTTTAACTGAGAGTGTATATATATATATATATACACGAGTGATTAGGAGAAAGAGAGAGAGAGATATGAGTCGATGGTGGTGGCGGGCGACTGATAGAATAAGTTAGAGTTTAGGACTTTTAACTGAGAGTATATATATATATATATATTTTAATGGGTAACGGGGACGAGGACGGGCGGGGCAGGGATAAAAGAAAGTTCATTCCTGCACGGGTTTATACGGGTATCTCTGTATATGTCTACCGTCCAATATATATAATTCATTCTTGGTCTAAATGAGATGGGTTTGGACGAATACCCGTTTTTTCTCGGTCCACTGTCGTCCCTAACATGAACATGTCCGTTAACTTTTTAACATAGATGCATTTTAGATGGTAAAAGACACTTCAAAAGTCATGTCAGTTGGGCATTCTCCAATTGGCTTGATCCACCAAGGATGCCTTCAAATCCATGATCCAAATCCAATATTTAACTTAACGGATATGAATGAAGGGTCCACTTACAAGTAATAAGACTACTTGAATCTAAGTTGGTGATCCTTCAATGGAAAGGCACATTCTCGAAACAATGGTCTCACTCACCATATGCCTGAAAGCTTTGGCTTCCTTGAGTCCAAGCTTGATTAATTAGTCAAAGTTAACCATGAGAAACTTACATACTAGCTTGGTTCATTCTCAGCACCATTGTGTACAAAATATCATTTTAATATATGCAAGATAAGAACACTATTGACATTTAAAAACATGGCATGGCGTTCCATGAAAATCACTCTACTAGAAACGTTCTACATATAATATAGTGGACCCCTGATAAGGCGTAAAGCTTAATTACTTGGGGGAGTATCCTTCTGGACCGATCAGAAAGACCCATTCATGGTGTCTTTTCGAGCAATCTCAGTCAACCAATCAAGACTGCAGCTCAATGCATAGTTATATTTAGACATTGAAACAGTCTATCCAGTTTTTTTTTTTAATAATCGACAACTGTCTCAATCATCTATGGTTTTTGATCTCGTGGCTGTTGATATTATGAACTCGGTCCACGGACGCTGAACAGGCAGGCTACTTTCCCATTCCGGATGCATTAGATATTATTTTCCATACTAAGACTTTTTCAAGACAAATAGAAATAAGGGCAAACTTCATGTTACCCTTTGTGTATACATCAAATACACTTTATATTCCTGTGTTTTAAAAATTTTCACATAATCATTGGACTAAACTGCAATGTCAATGATTCTGTCTAAATTGACGGTGCGTGTGGCTTATTTTCTATTCTTGCAACTGGGTCAACGACTAAAAAGTTTCCCCCAAAAATGTCAATGACAAAAGACCAAATTATCCGCACTCTGCCAATTAACTAGCAAAATCCTCAAAAAAAAAAAAAAAAATCCAATCTATTTTTCAGTCTCAAAGCTACCAAAGTGCTGTGAAATTACCACTATAAGCAAAACTCATCTGGAAAATCCAAATCTATTTATATGAAGAGAGAGATAGATATAAAACCAAAACCCTGAGAACCCAAAAAAATAATTTTATGCCGAAGAAGCATGTTGGTGGTATCGATCTCTACGAATTTGGGCAGCCAAGAAGGGAAAGCAGAGTAGTGCTACTTGTAGTAATTGTTCTTGTTGCAATTGAAGGGTGATGAGTGGACCCAGACAAGTGCTTGAAGACGGTTCCGCCATGGTTGAAGAAACTCCCTGTAGGTGTTGGAGGTGCTGATGCTGCGATGAACGAAAGGGAATAATAGCAACTGTTGGAGACGTCCTGGTGAACTGTTCATATTCTAGGTTGGATTTTAGGATTCATCTTAATTTTCTAGTGAAGATGTTGTAGATTTATGTTGTAATGTGCCGTTGTTCAGAGTGCTAGTAATGATTTTTACACAAGGAGTTGGAGAATATATGTGTTAGAGGAGGAGAGGTGGGGGGTTTGCCAAGAGAGAGAGGGTAGTTAGGTCATTTTATACTTTTTGTTAACAGTGTTAACATCAAAGTTTAGTCCACTAAATACGGGGTTATGTGGAAATTTTTAAAATGCAGGGCCGTAAAATACATTTGAGGTATACCGCAGGGGTAGGTAAAATAAAATTGAGGCTTTTAAGCCCTGAAAATGAACAATATTTCCAATTTATCCAAGAATAGAAAAACTAAGGGTTGATTGTCCGAACATTAATGAATTAAGTTTTTTTTTTTTTTCGGAAAGTATTTATGAATTAAGTTAATCGTCTTAGTCTAGTCCATTCTTTCTATAAATACATAAGCTTTTTACACAAGAAAGCTCAGAATCCCAGTGTCCCAGAAGAACTATAAAGGTTCTTACAGATTCTGTTCTCGCTGGACATTTCAAGCGTTTTATTGAAAAACATCTAGATCCATCTTTTTGTATAGCGCCTTCGAGTCTTCGTCTTTTTCGTTCGGATTCGCGTATGAGATCTCATTTGTATTCATACATATATGCAATATTATATATCTCATATGTATAACTCTTACCTTGGACAGCAATGTTTTGTGTGATGTGTATGGCAGATAGAAGATCATATGGCGAAATATTCATGCGACGACGCCATTGAAGGACTCAAGAAGCTTCTGAGGTACTGTTTTTTTGTACACTGCTCTTTCCTTATTCTATTCGGAATCATCGGGATTCTCTCTCCCTTCCTCTCTCCCCCCTCCCTCCCCAAAAAAAAAAAAAAGAAACACAAACAGTTGCCAGATTTTTGAACGAAAGCTGTCCTCTTACCCAATTTCATTTTCCCAAAAAAAAAAAAAGTTTTTATTTCATCAGTCGCATTAATCGCAACGAATTTTTGAGAAATTTTTTTGTGGGTTTAATTAGAGTATCAAAATATGACACAAATTATTAACACGATACAAAAATATAGAGTTTAAGTATTTTTTAAGTCATCTATTTCGTAAACAAATAGACTCGATAAATAAATTTGATATGAGTGAAATCAATTAAAAAAAATACACGACATCACTATTTTATATATTGATTATACACAATTAATACATGAAACGAATTCGATATAATATAACTTATTATACACAAATTAATAAATAGATCATGTAAGAACCTGGCCTGGGGTGGCCATGGGCCCCTATAATTTGTAACATCGGGGTACATAAAATGGTCGTTGAGGAGTCCTATATCTGAAAGAGACTTAACTCCTCTGGTGAGGGTCTATCAGAGTGGTCGTAAAACATTCTTTCTTGTCGTCACCCTTTTTTATTTATCAAAAAAAAAAAATAACTTGTATGTATAAAAGAATCTTTGAACCAATTAACCATGAGACAATAACATACTATTTTATTCTTCCCTAATTAGATCAATAAAAACTATTTTTTTTCCACTCACTTTATAAAAAATATTTTTTTGTTAAATGAAAAGGCAATAAAAAAAAAATAACATGTAATTTTTTTTGAGTTTTCATTCTTCTCTCACCAAAATTCTTAATCGGTTGGTAGTATTTCGTTGGGTTCACGCCGCTTGTTTTCTAAGTGGGGCCACAAGAAACTGCTTGTTGTCTAAGTGGGTCCACATGAAACTGCCTGCGTCATGCATACGTCATTTGATAGGCTGCCAAGGTTGTTTGATTGTTATTTTAAAATTGAATATGGTATACTCCTCAAATTTTTTTATCTAAACGGTGTCACGTAATTTTTGCCATTGAATATTAATAAAATTTATTTATTTAATAGTGAAAAAGAGTATCACTCATTTGATAATGAAAAATAGTACCATATTATTTGAGATATAGATTTAATAAAAAAAAATTAGTAATTATAACATTATCCTTTTAAAATTTATGCAGCAAAAAAGGTAACCTAGAAAGTGTTGCCGCGGCAAAGATCAAGCGACTAACGGACGAGTTGAAGGTGACCGCTGAAAAGCCGTTCAACCCGGTTGAGAAGATAAAAATCGGGTTCACCCACTTCAGGAAAGAAAAATTCGAGTAAGTAGTAGTTGTACCTTATATATATATATACACTTTTTGGTTGAGAGTGAAAAGTGTAATTAGAGTGTGTTTTTTTTTAATATTAAAATATTGGAATAATGAATTTATAATAGAAAACAAGTATCCACTAGAAAATTTCTAAATGTGATGGCAATTGTCTGCTTAATCACAGGGTTAAAGGTGATACAAGAAATCTATAACATAAAATAGGGTGACTTCAACATCCAACGGTCTTAAATCAATTCATTCATCCAACGGTCTAGAGGTTAAAACATATGAGAGTTTGAATTTTCTCCTAGTCAAACGGCCTAAAATTCATTCATCTAATGACCATTAATAGTCTTTCATTTTTTCCTAAATTCATCTCTTTTTCACTCATTAATTTTCAAAATCAAACCATCCTCAGCCACTTCATCTATCATAGAGGTAGCCTCCCCTTACATCTCTCCATTTTTTTTTCCAAACCTCTCTCAAGCCAAGTCTCTGCTTCATTGTTGTTTCTTTTTTTTTTTTTTTCCAACTTCAGTCTTCTCTTTCTCTCTCACGCCCTAGCGACACCACCAGTGTCTCCATTCCTTTGGCAAACCATCCCAACGTCTCCCTAGATATACTCTCTTTCTCTCTCTCTGTGTGTAGGATCTCCTCCTTCTTCACTCTCATCTCACCCTTCTCCTAGATGCCACACTCCAGTCAGCCACGAGCAACGACCACTGACGCCACTAACCTCTTTTCTGTTTGATTGTTCCCTATTTAAGAACTATGTACATTGCCTTCAGGCACATGATATATGACAAGTTTAGGTTTTTAGTTTAGTATGTGTTCGAGTTCAATTCTTAAATATTTCACGCTTAAATTTAACGTTTGATTTTTTTTAATTACTCCGTGCCTTCAGACACGGATTATTCTTAGTTATATATAAGCAATGGCCCATGGATCTCTGGGAAGAGCGGGAATTTAATGTTTTATGTGAAATTCCGTGCCTTCAGGCACGAAATTTAAAAGAATACATATATAGTTTTATGTGAAATTTATGAAGTGATTGTCACAATTTTAATAAGTTTGCTTCTACAAATTTCAACCTAAATTAGATTAAGTACATCTATTTGGATTCTATATATGTTAGACATGTTTTAGTTGCTGTCGAAGTTCAAGTACTAACATTGATGGGAAGGTTAATGTTAGTAGTGAAATTGCTTAGGTGGCGTCAGGGGTAGCCCAATAAATTTGGAGCCTCTAAGCAACACTATCAAGTGGGGTTCTATTAATGGATAATAATTATTAAAATATATTCATTTAAAAGCTATTTTTCTAGTTTTTTGAGATGCAAAAATATTGATTAAATTTTTATATTCAAGTTTTGTTAATATATCTTTTTCAATGGATAATATAACTAATCCATTTAATATTTCTTGTGACATAATTGATCGGAGATAAGATTTTATTAATTTAAATTTTGAAAAATTTCTTTATGCCGAAACAACTGTTACCGATATTGTTAACAATATTCTGAAAGCTATACATGCATTTGTGAAAGAATTTAATCGTTTTATTTAAGTTAGGGTTTCAACTGGAGTGTTAATTTCAGATTGTAGGACTTTTCTTAATACAATCAATTCTTGAAATAAATCTAAACCATTAGTATTGGAAAATAAATCATGCTTCAAAAAATTTTTAAGGTTAAGACGATAACTTTTCAAACTATCATCATCTAAGGATTTTAATTTTTTAAAACAAAATAAAAAACCAAATATATTTTCATACATTTTGAATTGTTCAAATCTACTGTTGATCGAAGAAATAACTAGATCAATTATAAATAAAAAATATTCAATTCTAAAAGATTCTTCAACTGATAGTGTTATTGCATTCTTATTTTTAGACGAGAGAGATGTTAAGAAATAAACGTTAAGAGAGAGAAATGTTAAGAGATAGACGTTAATAGTCATATCTATCTTCCTTGTTGCAGAACTCTATCGGCCTTCTGTATCTGATAAGAAGTCTAACAGTCTACAATAGTTGGCAAGTAGATCAATTTTCTGGGTAAGTAAAATTTGGGCCCTCAAATCAGCCCATACAAAATATATTTACCCAGAACTAAAACTCTAATTGGGGGCCCCAAAATTTTACAAAAATTGGGGGCCCTAGGCGGCCAACTAAGTGGCCTAGGCCTAGGGCCGGCCCTGGGTGGCGTTTAATAATCGCTTGTTTTTATTTTTTTTCATTTTTGTTTTTATTTTATGGCTTAAAAAAAGCAAAAATATGTTTAGTGAATGCTTTTGTTTTTTTTTTTTAATGTCTCCGTTTTAAAAATAAGACTAAAATATGAAAACATCTAAAAAGATGTTTTTAAAAACATCCAAAAAAACACACATGCACGGTTTAGAAGGAGATTTAAAGATGTCTTGACTTCAATTCTCCTTAGTAACAATCTATAGATTTTTTGCTTGGGTATAAAAGGCCAACTCTCTTTCACTCCTCTTTGTCGTCTCTCTCTCTCTCTCTCTCTCTCGATTGCAACAACGAAGCCAATCGCTAGCAACAATCTAGAATTTTTTGAGGGTTGAAGCCAGTCGCTAGCAACAATCTATAGATCCTTAGAAACAATCTAAATTTTTTAGAGGATTGAAGCTGAAGTCTCTCTCTGTCGTCTCTCTCTTTCGGTGATTGTGGTGCTGGGGATGGATTGTGGGTTTCGATGGTGGGGGTTGGATTGGGGATGGGTTTCAGTAGTTGTGGGGGTGAGTTTCAATAGTTATGGTGGTGGGGGTGGATTTTAGTGGTTGTGGTGGTGGGTTTTAGTGGTGGGGTTGGGTGTGGGGTTCGGTGGTGGGGTTGGGTGGTGGGTTTCAATGGTGGGATTGGGTGGTTAGTGGGGTTGGGTGGTAAATTTTTGGTATAATACCAAATAAATTTTTTATTTTTGTTTTTATAATTTATTAAATATAAATAACTACCAAACATGTTTTGTTTTATTTTTAATTTTTATCACACACAAAAAAAACTTAGTTCTATTTTTTTATAAAAAAAAACATAAAAATGAAAATGTTACCAAACGCATATTTAATATGATATGAAAATAATTTTGTAAACATTTTTGTTCAATCGTTGCCAGATTTGGCTGTTGTTGCGATTGATTGGGACTTGGCTTTCTTTTTTGGCAGGAAGAATCCAGCCCTGTATGGTGAACTTGCCAGACGCCAGAACCCCAAGGTGAATAATTTTTGTTAAAAATATAAATATTTAAGGTACAACTTCTCCAATAACTTAAACTTTTATAGTTGATAATTGTTTAACCGTTGCCACTCTTATTAAAAGATTTTCGCGTGTCAAGCTTGTATGTGAGCGGTCATGTTGAAGTATAAGTTATACCTTGTAAAATAATTTTATGCGTTATCTCCTTTGTTACTCTAGCTATCTGGTTTTAGTTTTTCTTTGAAGGTTGTATCTTATAAGTCATTTTGAATATTTTGCAATGTCAATGCCAGCAATGGACAGACACAGTACAGGTTACTGATTTCTTCAAGAGTAAAAGTTGCTTCCTAAATCTTATAACATTGAAGTGCCTTTTTGCTGTTACTGGTGACCCATTTTCAATAGAATATGCTCCACTTTCCATCACTGGCATTCAATCAAATGTAATTTTTATTAATTCATTGTCAAATATCTAATTAAAACCAAACTAAACAGAGCTTAAGTAAAACCAATTGGGATAATATGTAGTCAAATTCTCTTCTTTTGTTGGAACAAATCATGACACCCAGGATCGTAATAGATGATACTAATTGCATGCAACCACCTGGTAGATGTGAAACAAAGTTATACAAAATATAGTCTATTATTTAGTAGCTGGAAGGAGAGGGGGAGAGAGAGTAATGCAGGGTACCATGGATAAAGAACGAGATTAAATATAAGAAATTATAACTTGATAATTATCATTCAAATCAAAGCTAAGCTGCTGAATCGGTTTCTTAACATAAAATAAATAAGAAAATCCTACTGGTCATAATTTAATAGAAAATCCAAATAAATACACAATATTATGAAAATACCCCAACACAACCGGATAAAATAAAAAGTGTCTAAAAAGTGCCCTAAACGTTATTTTTTGACTTAAAAAGACAGCTTGAAGCTTTCAATCTTAATCAGATCGTTGATAGTTTTCCGGAATTGGGTCTCCTAAAATTTTTTGACACTGTCGCTCAAAATAGTCTTGATTAGTGCCCAATTAGCGTTGTATTCGACAGTCTTTAATTTGTCATGTACTCTTTTGTTATACGTGCTGCATCATCCTCTCCAAGTTGAAAATAGTTCGTTCTCAAAACGGAAGCATTTGAGTTGTCACCTATATATGGAACGAGGTATTTGACATTAAAAACATCAAAAGTGCGAATCTGACTTGGTAGCTTCAACTTGTAAACTATAACTTTTGATTATCGAATATAATTGAGAAAATGTGTCTCTCTTTCTTTCCAATTCTTTTTGATATTCTTGGAAATCAACAGAGTTATGTTGGTCAACAATTGCCCAGTGAGTGGTCTGCGGGTCCCATTGTTCAAAAAGAACAAGAGTTATTAAAATTTTTA